CATTGCTTTAAAAATGATAGGTAGAACTGCAGCTCTGCAGACGGTCACAGATAAATGTACAGTGGGAAATGAAGAGGGCACGAATCTAAATGCAGCAGCAACACGAGATGGTTTTGAAAAAGCAGTTAGAGGAGTTGGTGAACCAAGAGAGAAGAATATGGCTATGAAAGTCACTGTCTGGTTAGCACTCAATAGCAGAAGCAGAAGTTCAGGGCAAAATAAGGCACAGAAAACACACCAAGGAAAGGCTTTTCAGGGCAGTGAAAAACACAAGAATCAAGACTGTGGAAAACTCCTGAGGGGGAAACAGGCAATAAGATGTCAAAGCTGTGGTTTTCTGTCACATATCCAAGAATCTTATGGATAGCCAAGAAGCTTAGCTTAAAGAGAATGAGAGGCAAAATGTAAATAGAGAGGGAGATCAGGCGGCTATTTGCCTCATTTTGATAAATGTTAAAGCTGAGTTTAAGAGTTCGTATGGTGCCTGAACATGTCAGTTAAGCAGCAACAGGTTAAGGGCTTAAGTTACTGTGCTTGTCACCCACCACCCCATGACAGAAGAAATATGGGTTTAGTGGTGTCTTCTGTGCAGCCTTTTCAACTGAGCAGCTCAGAGGAGGCTTGGCACACTGGAGAATTATAAAACAACTGAAAACTGTTTATTTCCTTCCAACAAATGTGTGAAACTCTTTGAATTTGCTCTTGATGGCAGGATGTCTCGGGGACGAATCAATGAGGCTTTCAAATTGGATGATTACACGCTGGAGTTTGCAGGCATAATTCCAACCCTGGCCGCACCTTATGAACCTCCAGTCACCATCTGGTTAATTATGTTTGGGGTGGTCATTGGCCTGGTTGTCATTGGAATGATTGTCTTGATCATCACTGGGCAGAGAGATCGAAAAAAGTAAGTAATATTTTTGATACTGTGATCATGACCACTGTGATTGAATCATGAGGGTGCTTACAAATGGGCTGCCAAATATAACTAAAGCAAGTTAAGGAATGAAAACTTATTATTCGCCTCCCATCATCAGTGATAGCTAAAGGTTCAGTGCAAGGCAGCTTTGGAGGCTTAGTGCAGTTTTCCCACCATCAGCAGTTTAACCAAGGCAGCCAGACACTGTGGCTGTGGGGAGCTGCGGTGTGGCCAGGCTTCTCCCAGCCCCACTGTGAGGTGGATGGAGCGGCCTGCTGGGAGCACAGTGCCTTCTCCAACAGCAGGGTTTGCCCACATTCATCAGCACCTGACGCTTTCAATAATCTCTTTGGAGCTTGTTCAGTAATGTCAGTTTACTTAAATATTATTGCATTAGCAGCAATATAGCTGGGTTGGTTTTCTATGTCTCTCCATTAATGAGGTTTCTAAGAATGTAGTAGGTTTGCTACAGTTCCCCCTAAAACCAACACAATTCCTTTTATAGAAATATTCCCAGTCAAGCATGGTATTATTTACAGTAGGGAACTTTAGGGATTCAGAAGAACTTGGACAGAACAGGGACTTCTAATATAAAATGAATTTTTGTTACAGGAGAGCAAGAGAAGCTAGGAGTGAACCAGGATCAAACTCTGAAGCGGTGAACCCTTATGATGAAGAGGGAAAAAGCAACATGGGTTTTGAGCCACCTGAAGAGACACAAACTTCATTTTAGAAGATGTGGGTACACTAAGGGTTTCTGGGCTTCTTTAATTTCACTTTTAGCAATAGTGCCTAGCAAGGACCAAACATAATGGATGATATCAAACAGAATATCTCCTGGTTGACCATTAATCCACTGTCTCATAGACAACAGCAACGAAATCTGCTGTTGATGTGGTAACTAGAAAACGTGCAAAAATTGAAGACTTACATGGTTTGTGGCTTTTCTATGAATTATGCGCATAATATTACACACTATTTGTGCTGCTTTTCATAAGTGCACTGCATCCAACTTCTCTTTGTTTCCTCTGTAATGAGATACAAAAACTTGGAAGTATAGAGTTGTATACAGATCAAGACAGACATAAGAATAATGTACTCCAAATGCCCATGAGGAATATCTTGTTCTTTCCAGATGGAGACCTCAAAAGTGTTATCTAATAGACAGAAACTTGACCACCAGAAGAACCTTAGTGATTAAGAACTCAATTTGATGTGAAATAACTGCAATTTTTGCACCTTCAGGAAATCTGTGTCCATGTAAAATGGATACTGAATGAAGACTAAAAAGCACTGGAGCTTTTTTAGAAAGTTGTAACATAAGTTATTTTTCTAACTGTTTGCTTGATAAATATTGCAGAGACGAAACCCCCCTCAAAAATGTGTGTGGGGGGTTGCCCCCCTCAAAAAAATATTCTCTGTGTTATGTTGCCATCTAAAAATGGAATAAACTTCCTTAATATTAAAAGATCAAAGTGGGGTTTTTTCAGTACCTTAACCGTTGCCTCCATTATTACAAATACTGCACACTACGAATGCACATTGTGGAGTGGGGAATAGATTGAGACTTGGGAGGCTCAGGTTGCACCTGAAAAAGAAAAGCTGCTCACAAGGAGGGTAGTGCAGCACTGGTGTTGCCTATTCCATGTTCTGGGAGAGGCTGTGGGATCTCCAGATTTAGAATTGTTCAGGGCTCGGGTAGATAAATATATGGCTGATTCAGCAGTGAGGACAGTCCCACTCTGAGTGAGAAGTTCAGCAAGATGATCTCCAGAGGTCCCTTCCAGCCAGCATTTGTGTCTGTCTTGCAGGTCCCGTGCCACACCTGCCACGATGCCAGTGCAGTTGTCACTGAAAGGTGGCACAAGGTCCAAGGTGCCTACTCAGTCCTGCGTTTTGGTAAAGAGCCAGTAGCAAACACAAGACATGCCCGCATAAAAAACATTCAGCAAATGCATGGACCTTTAAACTCATGGGCCTCTAAGATGATCAGAAACTCAAAAAAGCAGTCAAACATATATCTGAAAACATACAGCTGGGCTCTCTGGGCTCACAAAACACCTTCCCAGTGCTCCACACTCATTACCTATTTAAAAGACAAGACTCTTAAATGAGAGAGTTCAAAATGATAGGCAGATGATACTGATTGACTGCAAACTAGACAGGAGTGTAAAGAAGTGAAAATAGTTTTTCTTTAAGTTGCTTTCCTACACCACATATCCCATTGCTATAACGTTCCCAAACCTCAGTACTTCAGCTAAACTTTTAAGATGAATAATTCAACTATATGTGGTCTTCCTACTTACTATGCAGTAACAGAAAAAGGGAACAGCAAAGCTGGAAACAATCAAACAACGTAATTATTCATGCCAGCCATCTTCAGATCTGTTGTTAAGATTAACATTTCCATTAAGGCAAAGCTTTCATTTCAAAGCAATTAATTTTAAAAGCTATGCTATGAATCAAAAAACACCATTCCGAATTGTCAACACATAAAGCCTCTAAAAAAATACATCAGGATGTTGGAAGAAAAAAAAAAGAGACTATATTAAATACTCAGCTGCATGCATTAGCCCCAACAATATCTCACCCCTTCTGTGCTGTGAAGGCACACTCCTCTCCTCTCATATTGTATTTGTGTCAGCACTCCTTCCTGACCCTTTTTCTGGGTCAGAACTCCTTGCCCCAGCATGATGCACAGACAACACCATACTATGCTCTACCTCTCCCTCATGCGCAGCCTTCCATGCCCTCTCCAGGCCGATGTAGATCCTCACAGTCATTTGCATGACCCCAAATGCTGCTCTCCCTCAAACACAGGCACAGCTCCCCACGTAGACAGGGCTGTGCTCTGCGAGCCAGTTACCAGTGCTGCTATGCCAGCAAGCTCAAGCACCGGAGCCAGTGGCTGGCCAGAGGCCTTCATTTCTTTCTCCCCTCTCCCCACATGTCTGCACCCTGCATTTCTTACTCCTCAGGTTCAGGTTAGTTCAAACTGGATCTGCAGAGGGGTCCCTGCTAGGGTTGGGTCAGGTCCACCAGGGAAAGGGCGAGCAGTTGTCACCTGGACTCATAGAGGCGTCACCCACTGAACTAGCTCAAGTTCAAGGAGAGAGGAGAGGATTTTTTTTCAGACCTTGCTTTACTTTAAAACTCCTTTATTTTATACATATTAGATCAGCATTTTACAGATGTCAGTGTCTAAGTTTAGACTCCTCTGTTGCAGTTATGTAGCTTCAGATGTAGTTAGTATCTCTGGATTTACTGAAGTTAGCATTAATTTGTGTAGTGCCATGCACATTTGAAAGTTGGGTGCTTTCATGTAAGAACTCGGTGTTAACATCAAAAGCCAAATTTCAGCTCCTCAGTAGTAAAATACTTGGCTAAGCAGTGATATTAATAGCATTTTCAGTTCTCTTAAAATTTTTGCTCTTCAAGTTTTCTAGAGATCAGCAAATTTACCACTTACTATTGCAATGAGTATGGAGTTCTGCATAAAATATTTTCCTCCATTTTTCCCTGTAGCAGGAAGCAATAACACTCTGGTAAACACCTCATGTATTGCTCAGTTGCAAATATCCTGGATATATAGCTTAGAATAAATTCCAAATCAAGCATGCATTGAGGGCCAAAACTAAAGTCAATAGTACTGGTAAGCAAATGAATATAATATTTTACCAGTAGTAATTTCTCAATACTTGAAAGCGAGACTGTAACTATTCCTGTTGCTGTCACTTGCAACAGCTTTCAATTTGACTTCAGGTGTCAGCTTCAAGTGATTACAAAGAAAATACACATTCAGGTGAGTTATGATAATCAGAAAACCTTAAAAGCATATATTTCCCTGTTTACATTTCCAGTTAAGACCAAACAGTATCATTCCAAACTCTGTCACCCGCAAAGCGTCACAAAAACTTTCTCCATATGCTTCTTGGTCAACTCCCTGATTAAATGAGAACACCACCAATATACAGAATAATAGGGGTGGCTAGTGGCAGACAGATTTCAGATTTAGTTCCCGTACAGAAGACAGGTGATATGGAACCAGTATGCATAGTCATTGCTTTATGAATCTTCTTTTTCAAGCTCTGTTGTCGTCTTCTCTCAGTGCCTCAAAAAATGATAAGAGCTGATAAAAGGCAGGGCGCTTTTCTGGTAGCTAAATGAAGCAAAGATGATGGGTACGGTTATTTAATTTTGAAATTATTCAAGAACTGTAATTTGCATTAGTTTTTCTTGATTTTAGCATGCAGAAATTCATAGAGACAGTGATACTTCCGAGGTTAAGAAAATTAAAGTTACTTTTTATATCTCTCTTACATTGTGATAGTTTAACCTTCTTTCTTTGCATTAACATATCCTCAAATATATCCTCAAATATATCCTTTTTCTCAATTTTTCTGACAATTATATCTAAATCAACCTCCACTTTCATTGTCACTTTGTGGTATCACCAGTAATGTGCCAAACAGTTCTTTGTTGCTGGCCAGAAATAAATCATGGTCCACAGACAGCTGACTAAAATTTAGATGAAGAACAATAAATCAGGATCATTCTTGGCACAGCAGACACAGACCTCTCAAAATGAAATGAGCATGATCAGCATTTGGCTTACAGCTCCTAGGAGACTCACAGATGGGGTAACACATCGTTCCCATTCTAAGGGTGGGGTTATTTCAAGCAACATTAGGTATCTAAAAGGGTAGAAGTCTCATCTAAATTGGCTGTTTAAGATCCACGTATATGAAAGCAGGTATTTTTTATTTCATGCTGGCTAAGACAGAAAGAACAACCAACCAGGGAGAGGTATCAGTAATGGTCCTGTAATTATGGAAGAAATTTAGACAATTAGCTTAGCTCACAGACAAATTTTAAACCATTAAAATTGGTGAGAAGAATCTCACCCTGTATATTTTGTTGACATTAGAGGGTATTTTACTGTTATTTGCTTAAATACACGGTTCCAAGAAGAAGGGAGCCCATGTTCCTTTACGCCCTGTTTCCTGTACTAAAAATGTCCTAAACTAGACTGCAGTACAGAATGTACTACATATGAGCAATGGCTTCTATAAGGGATATCTTCCATTATGAACATTAGTTTAGCACTCAATAGTGACTCCTAGTGACCCCTTTTATTTTGTTTTCTCCAGTTTGCATGCACAGATATACATACCTCATGCCAGCAGTTGTACATTATCTGGTAGATGATGTCTGAAACGAGTTGCGGTCGATAAAGCCTGTATCCCTGAGAAACTTTCTCGATCACTTGCATGTTATCATAAAGCTCATAGGGCTGCTTTCCCAAAGTGAACACTTCCCACATTAAGATACCTGCAAAAACATTCACAGCGATGGAAGACAAGAAATGAAAAGAAAGAAAAGAAAGATAACTCCTTTTTCCTAGAAAAAGACATACATGCAACATGCAACTGATCAGACTCTTTACAGAGAATATGGTCCGAAGAAACGTACAGAGATGACTGACAAGTGTGATTCTGCACTCAAACATAAACCAACTTATTCTGCGGTAGAAGGTGAAGTTAGATTATACAGTTAGCTATCAAAATACATTTAATGTGGACAATAAGGGACAAAACCAAACACAGCAATCCATGGATTACAGTTTTTACGAAATACTTACAAACATCCCCTTATATATGTGTGTGTAAACAGAGAGGGAGAGAAAGAGGAATGAAAAAAAATGACAGCTATAGGTATTTATGTTTTTATAGAATAAACCATAAGAACATTTTTACCATATTTGTGAAGTGAGTGGGACATAAACACTTGTTTCAGAATGGTTTCTGAATGTGTCAGAAACCTATATGTGTTCTGAATGTGTCATACCTATAAGAACTAGATTATACTGAAGCAATAGAAACACTGGATAATATAACAATCATTAATTTGTAATAATAGCTTTGCAAGAAACAATTTTTGATATAACTGAACATATGTGTTAATCATGCCAACTGTAAATTTAAAAAAATGTGAAATATTTATTTCACAATGATACATGATATTGACAGTAAAGATTATTTTTAAACAAGTTTGTTGGACCTTTGACTTCCCTACAGCTGAAAGGCTGTAGCATTGTAGTGTCACAGTGGGTTCAGAATATAATGGTACCTGAATCCCAGCTTTCCCTGATGAGAACATTAAAAAAACCAAGATTATTTGTTCTCTGACACCTGCTTCTGGGATATGAATACATCAGTTGAGTTCTTTAGCCCTTTAAAGATTCATTAGTTTTAAACAATCAAACAAGAACTGATGGATCCTACTGTGCCCTTGCTTTGACTGCATCAATGGAAGTGTTAAAATGAGAAAAGACCGTCTAAGAAAAATAATGTTTCTCACTGAAGTTAATGCCAATATTGAAGTTAACGACAATAAAGCCTGGAGCCAGGATTTCATTGATAAGAGCAAAACAAAAAGGTATCACCAGAAAATCTAACTTCTGCTTTAATCATTTCTATATTATAAACAACTTGTAAAGGGCATGAGTGAGCTGTTTCTCTGCCAGACTCATTAATATTGGGAGACTAGCTGAAGTTAAAGATAAGAAGCAGCCAGCATTTGGAAACACTTTCATCTGCTTTATTCATCATTGTTTAATGTCAAGAACAGTGGGTTGCCAATCCTTCATCAACTTGACAGCTGCCAAAATTTTCCTACTGGAGGAGCAAACTCATGTAAGTGGAATTTAAGCCTGTTCACAAAAGGCTGCCTTTCCTTTGTCACCTTGTGCAGACTTTTAGAAACACTGAACAGACTCCAGGGATTTGTAAATCATAGCTTGAAAACCACTGAAGTAGAAGTTTGAATGCTTTCAATTCCTGGGTAGAAAGTGATCTGCAAATGCATCTTATTTTTGCTGAGATACAGAGTCCCAGCTCACACAGAATCTCTTCCACAGTTGGCTCATGCACAGAGACCACTCTGACCCCTGCAACCAACAGAAGAGCTCTTTTGACTTGGGCAGCACTGATTTATGGTCTAGAAATGCCAGCAATACCATTTGATCTCCACTGCCAACAGTATACTTTAGCATATTAAAAATATATAGAGCAAATGGGGAGTGGGCAGAGTTTCTGTGTGTCTAAAAGAAAAACAGTAGGGCTAAAAAAATCCAAAGAGGTTAGGCCTTGGATGCGTAAAAATATTAAACAAGAACATAAGCTGTAACTGCTTTTTACATTCCTTCAGTGTGTAAACATCTAGTATTTCTGCTTAGTAAGCTAAGGAAACACAAACGTAATGGCATATATGCATACATATTTATATATCAAATTCCATACATACCAAAGGCCCATACATCTGACTTGCTGCTAAATTTGGTGTAATGAAATACTTCTGGTGCTGACCATTTCACTGGAAACTTGGTTCCTAGTGAACTTATATATAAGTCATCCAGGACATACCTACAAGGCAAGAACCAAACTTGGTTGTGACTGAGTTACAGTGAAATACTATTTACTATTTCTTCCTTGTACATCACAAGGTTCCTAAAAAAAACCTGAGCAGAATCTCAGATTTCCAAAGGGTACCTGGCACAGACATTAGCTATAATCTATAGAACAGATCATTGCTACCAACTTGTTAGAGAAATCATACAGAATCATAAAATGCCTGTTGTAAGGCCATCTAGTCCAGCCTCCTGCTCAAACAGGACTACTCCCAACATCACATCAGGTCAGCCATGGCTCTGTATAGCCAAGTCTTAAAAGTCTCCAAAGATTGCAACCTCATAGCCTCCCTAAGTGGCAAGTTTCACTGTTCCACAGCCCTCCTGGGGAAACCACTTCTCTCACTGTCCAGCTTGAAATTCTTGAGCTACAGTGTGCGGCTGATGCCTGCTGCTGTATCAGCTGGCACTGGTAAGACTTATTTGGCTTCATCAGCTTTGTAGCTGTAAGTAGCTATAGGCAGCTTTTAGATCCTCTCTTCCATCCTCTTTACCAGCCTAAGCAGCCTGCTCCATCAGCCTCATTTCAGAGGATATGTTCTCTAGGCCCCTCATGCTCTCCCAGCTTCTTTCCATTGAGGCTGCTAATCAAGGTGTTTGGCCTCCCAATTAGGTGATGATCTTGTACACAAAGTAAACTCTGAGATTTCTTTAACAAACTTGACTAGCAAAATCTCTCAGCTGTGGCTGGCCTTTAAGCCTTAGCTTTTTGAGACAGCAGAATGACTTTATCTAACCCATAACAGCTTATGGTCATTAATGGAAAGGAGACACAAAGAGCTGTGTCACACCCCGTGGTTTAACTTTCCTAATGGACAGTTGCTAGCTGATCAATGCCAGTAAATTATAGATACACTAACATCACGGCTTCACAAGGCTACCAGTTCTTTTACTTACCTGGTCATCCCAAAGTCAGATACTTTCACAGTAAGATTGCTGTCAACCAAACAGTTCCTAGCAGCCTGTAGTAGAGAAATGAGAGGAGATGAGTGGAAAAAAGTGACAAAGAGCAAATAATGTCACATCTTTGTAGTTTGCTAATAATAACCTCTGTCCTCTAGCATTTCAATGAATCATGACATTCTTTGATTGAAGCAATTAAGTTTGGAACAGTAACTATCTTATTTCACTTTTTTGAGTATTGATTGAAAAACACTTTCTTTTTTATCAGCTTTACAGCTAAGGACATTGGGAGACGAGGAAACAGAGGTGAGAAACCCACATTCACCTAGAAAAACAGCAACAGAGACAGAAACTAAACCCTGTCTTTCAAATGATGTCCTACTCCATGGCCCTTTTCAGTAGTCTCAGAATTTACCAAGGCATCAAAAAGTGAAAAACATTGATTGGATTATTCACAACGCAGTATAAGCAGAATGGAGCAATGAAAGGTGATTTTAACAACTTGATTTATTAAAAATTCAATATAAGCCTAGTTCTGCAAATGATCACTTGAGAACATTTATCTGAGACTGTATTCTCTGCCTGCATGCTTATTAAGTTCTGTGATACAATTTGCATCTACAGTTTTCAACCTGAAATCAAGATCAAGGTTTATTTCTTTTTTTCCCATGGTGTACAGCCAGTTTTCGGGAAATTGACTTTATATTCACAACTTGCATTCTGCTACTTAAATTGTCTAATATTCCTGATTTCTGAATCTGGGTGTGGAAATTGGTGAGGCATGGATTTAACAACTTTGTTTACATGTAAAGACAATTCTTTGAAAGCATCAGCAAGACACTCAAATTGCTACCTGAGGAGACTGCACTCCTATTGGAAAATTAGGCAAGTCTGTAACATGAATTGTCACAAATCTTCCAACATCTATTTATCTAGAGGTAGAAGGCAAAATACTGCTACTGACTCTGAAGCACAATGCACCAGAAATTTGGCTAGGTTCATTTCTAATAGGTCAATAAAATAACAGCTTATTTCCCCAAAGAATTCTAGCATTCTTTAAAGCTAGGTTTTGTATAAACTTCAGGTACAAGTCCTTGAAATGACTGATCCTCTTATAAAAAGCACTACTTGCTTGAAAACTGATAGATAAATGTCTTTAAAAGAGCTTTAAAGTTCTGCTCCTGCTTGCAATGCATCAGAGTAAATTCCAGTTTTTCCTAGTAGTGTTCACACTTGTTTTACAAGAGAAACAGTTCCTAATTAGGTAGACCCCTATCTCATTAAAAACAATCAAAGTGACCCAAATATTTAATGTTGCATCACTTTCTCCTGGAGGATTACAGCATCATGGGACAGAACCTTTTACTTCAGTGGCCTAATTTTACAACTGGAGGTCTGTGCTCCCAAGTGGGGCATAAATCCTTGAGGCTAAAGCCCATGAATGCAGGCAGCACAGTATGCAGTGCTGTAGACCTGTCAGCTCAGCTCTCAGGCAGAGCAAATTGCAATGTGACTTGAGTACTGCTTGTCCAGAGCTGCCTTCTATTGAGCCAGCTGGGTGTCCCTGTTCAGCAGATCACAATACTTTTTGGAGTGAGTGCCAATGGATCCAGCGCACCTGTGTCTGATCCTGAGGGTACGACTCCCTAGTGTTAGGTCACCCTGCTACCTTCCCTGTTCCATTTTTCCTGTGTGATAGCTTACCAAATCTCTGTGTATGAACTGACAGCTCTCCAGAAATGCCATAGCATCACAAACATCATAACATATCTCCAGAAGCTGAAGGGGTTGTAGTTCCTTCCCATGACTCCTTAGGTAGCTAAGCAAACAGCCATTAGGCATGTACTCCGTCACTAGATAGATGGGATATGATTTTGAGCATACACCGTACAGTCTAACAAGTTTGGGATGATTAAGTTTCCTGAAATAAAGAAAAAAATTAAATAATAAAAGAATAAATAGAGATTATTATGCATTTCTGTAAGTTCTGTAAGTTCCAAGAAGGCCAATGGCATCCTGGGGTGTATCAGGAGGGGGGTGGTTAGTAGGTCGAGAGAGGTTCTCCTCCCCCTCTACTCTGCCCTGGTGAGACCGCATCTGGAATATTGCGTCCAGTTCTGGGCCCCTCAGTTCAAGAAGGACAGGGAACTGCTGGAGAGAGTCCAGCGTAGGGCTACAAAGATGATTAAGGGAGTGGAGCATCTCCCTTATGAGGAGCGGCTGAGGGAGCTGGGTCTCTTTAGTTTGCAGAAGAGGAGACTGAGGGGAGACCTCATTCATGTTTATAAATATTTAAAGGGTGAGTGTCACGAGGATGGAGCCAGGCTCTTCTCGGTGACAAACAATGATAGGACAAGGGGTAATGGGCACAAACTGGAACACAGGAGGTTCCACTTAAATTTGAGAAGAAACTTCTTCTCAGTGAGGGTAACAGAGCACTGGAACAGGCTGCCCAGAGAGGTTGTGGAGTCTCCTTCTCTGGAGACATTCAAAACCCGCCTGGACGCCTTCCTGTGTAACCTCATCTAGGTGTTCCTGCTCCGGCAGGGGGATTGGACTAGATGATCTTCTGAGGTCCCTTCCAATCCCTAACATGCTGTGATTCTGTGTGTGATTCTGTACTTCAAATATCTGTATAATGTACTGAAAGAAATTATTTTAAATGGATACAGTCCCATTTCAGACTTCAATATTCTTTTTCAAGAAGGACTGAGTGCCCTTCTGCTCATTACTTTGAAACTCAGTACTGATGACAATCCAGAGAAGACTGACTATTGATGAAATAACAACATTATGGTCAAAACCTGAAATAGGGTATAGCGGTGCAAAAGTGCAACCTTAATGGTGGGAGAAGACAGATCTGAAATGGTACGGTGGACCTTAGACCTTCAGGCTTTCTACAGAAATCATGTTACAAAATGTTCAGGTTCAGAATCCTGATCATATCAGCTAGTTAACTGATGGGAATGTAGTACAGATATCCAAAATATTCTTAAATTCATATGCTTCAAATATAATCTCATAGAAGTTCACTGGAAATTCTACACATCTTTCCCTCTTCAGAGACAGAGGCTAAAACTTCAAGTTTCATGTTCGTATTTCTGGCATTTTGCAGTTATTAATCTGTCTCATTTCTACCCGCAGGATGACAGGAACAGCTTTCTAACAGTTACTGTATAAATGCTAATGAAGTATAGTTTTAGATGATGTATGTGGAACCTCTGAAGTTGTGGAAGAGAAGCTAATTGAAAAGTCTGTAGATGACCTTATCAATCTTCTTGAAGTTCTTTCGGTAATACTTCAAATATCCTATGGGGCTACCTATTTAGCCTCTGCCTAATGTACTCATTGTTACTTAATGCTATTTTTAAGAGGAAATTCTCTTTCCTGTGTGTGCTATACATTATTGATTAATGTTTAGAGAGATCATTCTTTCCAAATAATTAAGGAATGCCATAGCTTACATCATGGTCTGAGCTTCTTCTATGAATTCATCTTCTGACATTGCTCCTTCTTTAATCATCTTTATGGCCACATCATATTTTCCCTTCCATTTTCCCAGATGCACCACTCCAAACTGACCACTCCCTAGCTCTCTCAACAGGACGATTTCTTCTCGTTTCAGCTCCCAGATTCCTAGTTGAACAAAATAAATTCCTTTATTAAAAAAAAGCAACAAACCAAAAAACATTTACAAACGCAGGTGTTCTATCACCCGCATGCCATGCTGATTTTTTTTCTCTAGAGGGTTGCAGAACCATGCAGGACTGCAACAACAGACCTGTCTCTTGGCTTTGTGCTTGAGTTATGGAAGGAGATCATACTTTCTACAACTGTTGTTTGCTGCTGCTTAGATTTAAGCCTTAGAAATAGATTTGAGAAAGATTTAGGCATCAAATGATGATATATTTTCATGTAGGAGGTTAGAGAACGAGTGTTACTGTGCCAGGAAATATGGCAAAGGGAAAGAATGGCTTTTGTGATTCTCTGGTTGTTCTTTTTCTTGGTAGCCAAGAGTGACACAAGTTTCAAAAAGGAAATTTGTCTTCATACCACTTCCTAATGAAGCTGTGGCTGGGACTTTATTTACTTGCGTAGACACTGCATGCCGGAGTCTTGTCACCATACCTACAAAGAAAACCTGTTAAAGGTCACAGTATGTACATGAGTCTTCTGAAATCAAAGAAAATACAGGGAAACTAATGCCTGCCTCTCCCTGGCATATTACAACCATCCAAGCAATGACAGATATTCAATATTCAAGATCATAAGCAAGATAGAAAATTTTCTGTGCTTAAGGGCCAGTCCAGCAGAGATATTGCAAGAAGAGGTAGTACAATACCAAAAAGCATTGTACAGCAAAGGAAAGCAACTATATTGATTGTGAATATGTTAGATCAAGTTCCACATGAATTCTCCCAAAAGATGTTTCAATATTTATAGTATTCAGTCTTGGAAGAAATTCACCATAATGCTGAGTCCAGCAGCCTAAGACAAAGCCAAACAAGGAGAAGAAGTGTATAGGATTACCAGCTGAGTTGTGCTGATGGTAGTATACAAGCATGGGGATTGATTCAAAACAGTAGCATTCAGCGAGGTAGTACTTGTTCTCAGGGGTTTTGTGCACATGATAATGTTTGACCGTTCCTTTTTTACTTCTGAAAAACACCACAAGGTACAGTACATGTCAAAGCCTTACAAAGTGTCTTCCAGCGCATGAGTTAATAGATCAGTTAGCTGCTGAATGAACTAAAACACTCCAGCTGACCAAATAACAAAATATGTAGTAGATGCCACCAGGAAGACTGTTACATGTGCCTCAGTCTGCTTTCTCCCCTTAACACCTGCTGGCTGTGTAGTGCAGGCTCCTAACACATCGGAGACTTCTGATGCATGCTCCAATGCAGCTGATGGTCCGTACTTGCCTCCCAACAGTTAAACCTAGAGCAAAAGACTTTCATACATTGCCCTTGCAATGGTCCTACATCTAATTTTGAACACCTTCCTTTCACCTTCCCATTCCCTTTTCCATTCTCCTTCCCTTCCTCCTCTCTTGTTCCCTCATTCCCTTGTTCAGGGAGCCACTATCGTATAAATTCAAATAATTAATATGACCTGAATGTGCCTGAGGTTCACCTGTAACACAGTGTAGAGGTTTTATTGTTGACCAGTCACACCAAGCAGCATGCCCATAGCACGCTCATAGAAATGGTTCACATTCTTTGGATACTCACTCAGAAACCTTGCTGAATACA